AGGGGGCACCTCGGGTTCCTTGCGGTGGAGGAATGACTACAAGAACAAAAATCCCCCTGGATCATCAGGCGAGGCGGTCAATAAAGCCGAGTATTCCTTTCGGATCGCCTCATTCTTGCAGCCCGGTGGCTGGGCGGGCGGGAGAGAAGCCACAGCCTCGGCCCTCCCCACCCACTCCCTCCCTCCCTCCCTCCCTCGCCCAAATGTGTTTTTCTCATATAGCATCATAACCCATCATTACGGCCGCGGCTGAGCCAGGGCAAGTGAGGACGTCTGCTTCGGCCGGCTAGATGGCGGCCACGGCCCGCTGCAACGCCCGCGAGGGTCAGCGGCAGCTGTGCCGGCGGTCCGACCATGATGCATCTTGGGGCCCAGGGAGCCACCGACCTCGCCGGGCCCGGACAGCTGACCTCATGTGGGCCCGTTCCTGGCCGCGGAAGCAGAATGTGGCCTGCGGGCCAGTGCAGAAGGCCGGCTTGCCTCGGCGAGCCAAGGGCAGCGGGCGGCAGCACCCCTATTTTCCTGCCACTTGGTTCATTCCAGGCGTTTCCTCTTGAACCCCCCCCTTCCTTGGTATGTTCCCCCACTCCAATGCCTTCTCCAATGCACACCTTTTTCTTTTTCCCTCCCCCACCTGCTGCCCTCCTTGGTACAATCCGCCCAATGGTATGTTCCATCCTTTTGTTTTTACCCTTGGTACCTCCCCCCCCATGACTTGGTCCCCTTAGTACGCTCCGCTGCCCGCTTTCCCCCTACTTCCCCCTCCAGCCCCGTGTTGGTACCGCTGACGCCTCCCGTTCAACTCCGCAATAGCACAGTCTACTTTCTCCCCCTCCGATCGCCCGTTCTCACTGGCACATTCCATTCTCCCTTCACCTCCCGCATCCACATTCCCACTTTGGTATGCCCCGTCTCGTTCGAAGCCCGGTAGAGGCGCCCGCCCGCAGCCTTTCCACGGGGAGTGCGCACGCGCGTTCGCCCGCGGCCTCCCCGCGCGCGGCGCCTGCGCACGGACGCGACAGGGGAAGAGAGCCCACCCGCGTCCGGCCTCGCGCGGGCGCATGCGCGGACGCCCGCTCCCGCCCCGCGCTGTCACTCCTGGCGTCGGCGGAGGCAGCGGCGGGCGAGCTCGCGCGCGGGTCTCGCGAGAAGCGGCGGCCGGAGCGGCGGCGGCGGCGCGATTTGCGGCCGAGGGAGGCAGGGAGGCCGGCCGGGCGGGCGCGCGGGCGGCGGCGGAGCGGAGCGAGCGGAGC